CCCCCCCCGCTAAAGGCATATTCATTTCCATGTTTACCTGGTGGTTTGTGAAGGATGACATATCTGTGCAAGTTCCAAACATATTTCTCCTGGGCAAATACTTCCTTGATCATAAAAAGCACCAGCAGGATTCAGAATGCTATGCATGGGTGGGGGGAGGGGGGAGGGATGATCAATTTGATAATACCTGAAGCCACCGGGGCACAGTGTCCTTACTTTCAAGTAAATGTGTGGAAGATGAAAGTGCGTGTGTACAGGCACACGCACACACACATATGTACATGTTAATGTGGGACTGGAAACTCTCCATTTATCTATAATCACTCATTTTTTTAAAAAAAACTGTACAATCTCTTCTTCAGACAGGTACTGTATATCTGTACCTTTCCATTCAGATGGCTGAAATGATACACATTACTCTTCATAAATCTAGTTACAGTATAAGAAGTATTTATTTCCTGATTTATCACTCGATGGAAATATATATTTTCAACAGAAAGGAATAGGAAAAAAATAATGTAGACACATATTTAATATATTTTTATAATAAGCAAGTAAATAAAGAGTAAAGGAATAAATTCTTTTAGCAACGTATCAGTTAAAAGTCTTAGTCTTCTCTTGAATTCTGTCTATGGATTTGTTTGCTTTTTTTGTGTGTGCTACATTTTCCTCCTTGTTTTACTCTATATTCCCACCTCCCTCTTAATAATTACTGTATGATTTCCAACTTTTAGAAGCTGCATTTTGTTTATTCTCTGGTGAGAAGACTATTCCACAAACATCACTGCATCTGCATAGAGAAATACTATGTCAATACTGTTGTGTTCTTTAGCCCACTGATTTCATTAGGCCTAAGAAGGATTGAGTCTATTAGGAGAATAATACCTAGGCCATATGTCAGTGACCAGTGAAGGGCCATACATCTGCATCCAGTGACAGCATGCACTGGACGCAGATAATGCTACGTTCAGTTCCTGGGCTCTTCAGTTAAAAAGATCAGGTAACCAGTAGTGTAAATCAGTCTCCCAAGATCTTGGAGAATCACTACTGATAAAGTAGATAAAACTCAGTTAAATTATAAATAATTCTGCCACAACACAGCTTCCTATGAATATTGAGCCTTCAAAGTACTAATATGGTGAAAATATAGTGAATGGTTTATTTTCATGTCCAATGTTCTTTCCATTGCTGCTTTTTAAAGATTCTATTTAGGGCCATTTGCCACCTATTTGTTAACAAGCATACTAATAATGATTTTCACTAAAACAGTAGTGTCACGTGCTCCAGATGCGTCAGGACAACTTCTAGAACTTCTTACCAGCTTGACCAGCAGCCCTTATTGGAGAAGGTTGTCATAGAAGTGGTGGAGCACATTTTCTTGAAAAAAAAACAAAAACCAAAACCTAAATATAGTATATACCATGTAGTATTTAAGGTTTCCCATGGATACAAAAAGAAAATATAGTAAATACCATGTAGTATTTAAGGTTTCCCATGGATACAGAAAGACTAAAGTATCCCACATTTGACAATTATACAGAGAAGCTATAGCTATGGGACTAAATATTGACTGAATTTGGTTAGAAGTAAATCAGTGCTGATTTTTGCAAACTACAGAATACTTTAACTTTGATTTCCACCAGAGAATTGCTCATCCATACTACCCCGACAACACAGAGAAATTGATTCAGGGTGAAGGCAGACTTCTCTTTTTTTCTTAATGTGGGATGTAGAACCTGAGTTCTTGGGCCTGCATGAGTTCCACAGCCTTTTGGAAAATGGCCATCAATGAAATTGTCAATGTGGCACAAGAAGAAAGTGTTATTAAATTAAATACATGGGAATAATATTAACTGTATTCAATTAATTTAATATTGTTAATTAATCAACATATAAATTAAATTAAATCAAATCAAACTTTAGCTTTTGTCCTTACTCTATTGATGATGTACAGACTCTGGCATACTACTGAATGTCAAGTGCAGCCTTTAGCTTGAAAAAGTTGATTGTTTCTGTCTTGACAGAAGTATCATTTGGTGTAGTCTGTTTGCTACATTTCATAACACCCTTTTGCACACATGAGATCAGAGTGCAAAGGATGACCAATCTATGGTGAAAACCTTGCTGGATCAGGGTGAATGGTGCATCTACTAGCTATAAAGAAAGTTCTTAAATAGTTGGTTTGTGTATTTAAGTCAGTTATCCAAAATGTTAATTCTGTAGAAGCTCTGATATAGTCCTAATTATTTCAATAAAGCTGCAAGATTATGTATATAATATTTTGATTAACAAGAACATTCTGCCTTGTCATTTTAAAATACAACCTCAAGATTTTGTCTGTTTAAAAAATAATTGATGTTGGCCTGGCATATGATCTTGATTGTCCTTTTTATTTTCAGATATTGATTGAAATGAAATTTATGAAAAGAGCATTAAGACTGGAATATTTAAACCATAATTTCATTTAAGCAATTTATTTACAAGTGCTGCCAATATATTACTGAATCATGAACATGCAATATTCAGACTATGTAATGATAACTATGGCAATAAGAGCAGTTTTTTTCCCCAGAGATGTAGTTTAACAGATAATTTGCCTTTCCACTTTGGAAAGGATTACATTACCAGAAACAAATCAATAATATAGGCATGTTTTAAAATAGATTGCAATATTAGGAAACACTGAAAATTTCCTTTAATATTAAAGATGCCAACTCCTGGAAAAATAGTCAATTTCAGAAGATTTGTTGTTGTTGTTCAACAATGTGGGAAAAACCCTTATAATTCATATGCATGTGTAGCTGAAAATAAAATTCATTAATTTCAACAGAGGATATTTCCAAGAGCCTGACCTTAATATGGAAACATTTGTTACTATAAAGCAAAAGTCAATCAGGAATTTCTAATATATTTGTTTGTTCATATTGCTGTAGCCTATTTACAATACTCTTAAACTTTGGGACAAAATAAGGCAAATATAAAATATAATCAATTGTTTATATAGTAACATTTCTATTACTTATTCATCATTATAATCCCATAATCTTTAACATTTTTAATATTCTAATTTTCCATACAGAAGAATTTATGACCAACAATAAATTAATAAATCAATACTCAGCTAAAATGTAATGTGCTTCTACTTGATCTAAAATTGTAACATTTTGTATACTTAAAATAACAGACCTAGAAAGGCTTCTCCTTCACTTTGTGTATAGCATCCATCAAAAAACAAAAATTAACTTCCTGAAAAAACTTCCAAAAATTAACTTGCCATTATTATATTCTGGAAAAAAACATCATTTTTGGGAAATATAAAACTGCTGTTATAATGTAATATAATAAAGGCCTAAAATAGAAACCAGAATCTGATTCCAGTTATAATACTGGAAGCAGAAATAAATCACGTTGCTGATCAGTATCAGGTTCATTCCTATATAGAACATGATAAACCAAATAATTCAGTAATACAAAAGAATCAAATAATAGCAAGCTGTAATAAGTTTTATATTTTATACTTGGATTCATAAGACATGCCCTACTTAAGGTACAGGATTATGCTAGCCACAAAGCTCAGGTATTTATCCCCCATTTTAGTGTTAATGATATAAGTAACTACAGAAAATTTATAACATTCCTATTAACAAGTCCAAAGCATTGTCTACAGTATTTCTCTCTTTAAAAACATAAAACAGTTTTTTGGAAATGTAATCTAATTTTCCCAATCCAAATAACATTTAAATACTGAAAGATTAAAAGAATTGCCTTTTTTTCTTGTCATATGATTGCTGTTTGCTTTTCTAGCACATATATTTGACTAAATGTAACATTGTATTTAAAATAGCTATGTCCAAACACAAGAGATTTCTAAAACTATAACAAGAAGAATCCTGTGACCTTTAATGGATGAACTATTGTTCCTAAGTTCCACAGGAATTACATCAATCAGGAAAGAATGGGATAAACAGATATACTACTGTTAACTTAAGTGGGGCATACCTTATAAATTCAAGACCATCCTCAATCCACACACATGGATACATACTCCAGTCCTTGCTGAAAGCACCAATGGCAGACTAAAAATGGCAGTGGGGGTTTCTGTCACAGGCATGAGGACACCTCTTCCAGTGGACCATCTCCACAGATAGAGACGGAAGTCCAAAATACCTTAAAAAAATTTAGGATGACACCATGGAGCATTGTTGGCAGCCTAAATCTAAACTCTTTTCAAGCCAGCATTTGAAAACAATCTTTAAATCTTGTTTTTTAAATTACTCCTTCATTTACCTTAAAAGCAAGAAGTAAAAATAACAGATAAATATTTGTATTTGCTGCAATTTACAATGGCAAATCATCATCATCATCACCACCACCATCATCTCACCCTTACTTTGTCCTCCAGTAGAGGAACTAGAGCTTGGAAGAGCTTCAGACTCATTTCATGGATTCACGTATCCGTCAATATTTCTCATCTGATTCCAATATCTCTATGCATATTGAACTATTAATTGGGATGCCTAAGCTCATTGCATTAAAACTATGCATTTTACCAGTTTTTAGTATTTTGTGTCCTACTGCCAATTGCAAATTAGAACTACCTTGTATGAAGAGAAGGGCTTAGTATCCATTTGGGGGCTGTTCCATTAATTACAAATCACATTCACATTTTCTTTTATTAGCTATAGTAATAAACCAGGAATAGTTGTTCAAAAGAAAGCTGAATATATTTATTTGGAATTCCAATTTCATTCTATTTTCCTTTTTTAAATTAAAAATTAATAACTTTACTTGACAGGAATTATTCTCTTTGTGTGAGATCTTCCACTTTGATGTGTTCCATGTATATTTTCATGTGCTAGCTTGCCTATTAAGTTAGCAGTGTAATAAAATGCTCAGCTCTCATAACGAGAGCATTTTAAGGTGAATTGCATTCATATGCCATCTATTTGCAGAAAGAATATGGGGTTTGGCAAAGCTACATGCTGAGCAACATAATAAGATATTTGTACAAAGTACAAGTTACTGATTATTATTGTGTTTTATTTTTCTATGATTTCCTAAGAGGCATTATCAAGTCTTACAGATGGAATAAGCCTGTTTACTAAGATATTTATTAGCAAATAAAAGTATAGTACTCGTGGTTATTTCTGAGTCAGTTTGTTTGTTCACCTAAATTGTATAATTTTAAAAAATCCTACAGGCTAGAGAAGCCAGCTATTTTTATTAACACATGCATTACAGACAACAGAAACTCCAAACAACAGAATTTTAGAACCAAATAATAATGTAAGTGCCCAGAAACTTTTTTTAAAAAAATTTTCATAACAGATGTGCTGGAGCAAAGCAAAGCCAGGGGCCATTGTCCCTTGTACTTTATTATCCCATCTGTCTCACATAACAAGAGAATGTGAACTGTATAATCTAGTCAATAGCCTGCACTGTTTACTGACCTTGAATTATAGATGGAAAGGGGAAAGAGTAGAGCAGTGTCTAGACTGGTTTTGGAGTTCTAATCCTTCCTTTCAACTATTATCTTGAGAAATAGAGGTAAGAACCTTGACTCTTCTCTAGCTCTTTTTAAAGGGAAGTTGTAAATCTAGCACAGTCTCAAATGTTAGAAATAAACAGTCTCAAATGTCTAGAAATAAACTGCAATTAACTGACCAGGGCTTCATTCTTCTGTTAGTAAACCTGTTCCAATATAACTCAGTTGGTGGAACAGTTGCCATGACACAGTTCAAGACCAACTGATTTTAAAGCCAGCATGTTAACAGAGACAATTTGCATCTTGGAGTTATTACATAAATCTAAGAGAAAAAGAAATTCCCTCACATTTTCTAGGCATGAAAATAATTCAAACATTTTATAATCTGTTTGTTGCAAAATGTCAGCAAATTGTCCATTATTACCTGAACTGGAAGTACAAAAGCTAATACACGTGGTAATGCTAGGTATGGGCAAGGTTCTTCAGATTGTGTGAGTGCAATACCCATATCTCACCATTGGTCATTCCTCAGTTTCAGTGAGGAAACTGAAATTCAACAATATTCTATAAAACAATGCAGGAATGTATTCTTCCCTCTTCCCCAATATGCTCAGATTTCATTACAGAAGGTCAGTGTCCCTGAATTACCGTGCAGATCAGTGCCACACAGAATGCAAAATGAGTAATAAAGGGGAATTGCAAAGGTTAAAAAGGAAAGGAAACTAGGCTATTAAGACTACATGAAATCTATTACCCATTGAGGAAGTACGTTAGCAAACAGAATATATGGACAAGAAACACACCTACATATTAATCCAGCCACAAGTACACGGAAGAATCTACTCAAAGATCAATGGATCCATTCAGGAAGGGTATGACTGGGGAAGGAACAGTTGCACACGTGCATGCACACAGAATCAGAAACAGAGAAAATAGTTATAAAACAAACATTCATTTAATTTCAGGTGCGGATTTTTGTTATCTTAAAACATTTTATTTTAAATCACCTAGCCAGCAGTACAATCGACAGTTCCAAAACACAGCGGGGAGAGGAGGGGCTGTAAACAGGCGTGCAATATAATTTGGTAGGTTAATACTTCGAATTAATAGGACAAATTAGGTTACTTTGTGTTTCCAGGTCGCCCTTCTATGTATTAACTTGCAACCGTCTTTCTCAAGCACATCTCTGACCCCCTTCCAATCAAAATCCAACCCTCATCTCACTCCTATACAGACAGGTTGAGCTTTTAAATATTAAACTTAAACAAGGCATGGACGAAACCCCAAATGAGGGAGGCGAGGGGGAGTCTATCGGGATTGCGATTCGTTCCTGCAGCACTTCTTCATCACAGATACATTCAAACCCTGGATCCGTCTCCTGATACTTCTCTCTTCCCCGTGTCACGAAAAGATTCAGAGCAGAAGACGAGAACGCAGAGCGCTCCTGTGGTGGATCGGCCTTTCTTACGCAATGGCGACCCCTCACTCCTCAGAGGACTATCAGAAGATCGCTGCCACGCAGGACTGGAAAAGGCGCTCCGCCTAGCAGAGGGCGTGGTTTACGGGGTGGTTCGGTTTCCGAGGTAACGACGTAGGCATCGGGGACGTGGGGGTAGAAGGGGGTTCTGGCTCGTTCCGGGCCTGATGCGCAGCTGCTGTTGGCTGCGTTTTCTTTGGTGAGTAGTAGCGGCGCGGTTTCCTGTTCCTTTAAAAAAGGGGGGCGCATGTGCAGGCGATGAGTTGGCTGCGTCTCTCGTTCTTTTAATTTAAAGTTAGACAGCCTTCCTGTTACCTGGCTTTCTACAGCCTCCCCCTCCCACTTCATCGGACGAATCCTGGGAGAGGATTAGATTACGATGCGAAAGAGAGTGATCGGCTCACCCTTACCCAGCCAGCTTCATGGCCGAGCAAGGATTTTAAATCCGGGTTTCTCCCCAGTGAACTATGTCATTCTTAAAGCAGCTCCCCAGATGCGTAGGATTTAAAGTCCCATCATTCTCAGGCCATACTAGAAAGGAATTCTGGACTTGGAGTCCAGTATATTCGAAAAGCACCAGGTTGGGAAAAAGTGCTCTTCGTTACACTTAAACAGTTCTGGCATCTGGGTGGAACCAGAAAAGGAAATGCAGCGAGTTTATTTGCAGCTCAGGTGGAAAGATCCTGAGTCCCCAATACGGTGTTCTTGGGCATCAGCACTGCTGGCAATACTTCCCTTGTTGCTTGGTAGCGTACCTATCTTGCCTAATTATTTGTAGATTTCATTTCAAAGAAATGGGAAGCCAGCATACAGGCTGGATTCAACCATAATCCACATTTCCAGTGATGCATCTAGGGCCCTTTTAGAGGTATGCTTAAAAAAAAAGAAGGGGTAGTTACAGCTTAATATTTTGTTTGGAAATTTGAGCACCTACCCAGAAGAAAAGGGCTAACTATACTCTGTGTATTGTTATAAATGTGATTGTCCATGTTCACCATAGCCAGTTTTGAGATACTAATAACAAATAATCTGTCAACATTCCAAATGTGTCCCCAGGCCAAACATTTGGTGACTGCTCTAATACAGGGAAGTTGCTCTGCTTTTATTGCCCCTATTTTTTCTTAATTCTGCTTTTTTTGTTCTATTTTGAGTATTTCTATACTTAGGGTTGCAAAGAGCAGCAATGCATGTATCCTGCACCTTCAGGGATAGCAGCAAGTGAAATGGTAAAAATCTAGTACTTTGCAATCTAATCTTGGGTACATGTATTTGAAAGTAGCTGCCACTGAGTTAAATGTATCTACATTTAAGCGATTGTATACTGCATCACCCCTTGTAAACTTGCTCAAGCATTAAAATCTGCATGTAAGGTCAAGCTGAACATACCTTTGCAGATAATGTTTATCAAAGGAATGTGTTGTGTTTTCCCCCCTTTTCTCTAGTAAACTTTTTACTACAAAATTGGATCTGCTTTCATGAACTGTCACCTTAAAATGTTTTAGATGTCTTTTGTCAATCTTGCAATCTGCGTTTGTTGTCCAAATTTTGGCAGGCAGTCCCAAAAAGTGGACATGCTGTTTCCATATTGTTGGCAATCTGGCATTGCTAATGGCATTTGCTCTTTCTTGATAAAGGGGGCGGGGGTCACTATTTCCTGTAAGAATAGATTCTATTTCTTCCTTACTCTATTTTCCTTTCTCTTTTTTACCTTCTGCTTTTTTCTTTGCTTTTTGGGTACTCTAATGTGCATTGGCACTTTCTAACTTCCAACATGCAGTTAAGCCATTGTTTTTTCATTATTAATTTTGCAATATATAACTATTATTTTTTGAAGAAAAATGCATTTTAAAAATATCTTGAAGAAGACCTTAATAGAGATGAAAAAGAAATTTGAATTGCTATTTTCTCCCACTGGTATCGCTGGACTTTTAATGTAACAGGCAGAAATTTAACTCTTTACATTATTTCAGTTCCATATTGGTGAAGGGTTTTTTTTGGAATTATTTATTATTTCCTTTTGTATTCTGCCTTTCCAACCTGAGGGAACTAAAATTTAAGCTTTGCTTAATCATGCAAATGTTAAACGTGTTAACAGTGAATCTTACTAGAGGAAAGAGTGCATTCTTCACTGCAATGCTACCTTCGTAAACAACAAAAATAGGTAGTTATTCTGTTGCCTGCACTAGAAAAAACAATACTTATTTAAGGTAACTGTACATAACACTGCATGTACAGTAGCTTGTGAATGTATCTCCCCCCCCCCAAAAAAAATATTTTCTAACAGAAGAAAACAATGCTGCCCCTAATTGTGGTAATAATTCTTCATCCTGTTATGTTTAAAGACAACAGACAAATGGAAACATTCTTCCTCATTATCAAAGTATTACTATAATTAAGTTGGAATTCAGTACACACATACAAAGATGTGATTATCAAGTCAGATCAGTGCTGTGTACAGTTGTCAAGTAAATCACAGCTACATCTGACTGAAAATATTATCCAGTAATACCCAGTGGCCCCTCAGCTGTAGTCTCACTATATTTAAAGATGCAATGTTTTATAATGCTATACTATGATAATAGATATAATAATGTAGAACTCAAACCCTTTTTAGTAAGGAATGGAACTCTTATTTATGAGTATTATATAATTAATAATATTTAACTGGGTTCACTTCTTGGTTCTTGAATATTTTTTAATAGTGCACAGTGCAGAACGTTCCTATGTGGCCTTCTGTTTATATGTTTGTATCTATGTTGGTTAAACTGTAAAACAATAAACATGGATCTATTTCTAGTTATTTTTTTACAAAAAAAATCACTAGCCTCATTGCACAATGCTTTATGAATTATAGAATGCTTTATTAATTATAGAATTACAATTATCCATTGACAAAAGACACTGTGCTTTGACAAGAAGATAAGTAGCTAGCCTGTTTTGACCAGAAGACTTTCCAAATAAGCAGCTTATCTACTTGTTCCTTAGGCTAACCAACCTGCTGTGACATGATTTGAAACTATTTCTTCTCTAGGATGCTTCTGATTTAAATGTCTAAGAACCTTTGCCTTCATGTTCACCTACAGTAATTTCAACTTTTAAATCTATCTACCTACCTACCTACCTACCTACCTACCTATCTCCCTCCAACCTTTAGAAATACAGGAATTGATTGTGCCATTCAATCAAAATTATGGGATTATTTGATAAACTGGCAAGTTGGCTTGGCCTGAAAAAGAAAGAGGTTCATGTTCTGTGCCTTGGATTAGACAACAGTGGTAAAACAACAATTATCAACAAGTTAAAACCATCTAATGTAAGTAGACATTTTTAGTATATTACCAATTTGTTTGTTTTATATTGTTGAAAAGCTGACATTTATCACTATCTGTGGAAACACAGAATGTTTAATACATTGGAATACTAATTTCAGGACAAAATTTATACACACCTTTTAGAGATGGAGTAAATTGTGTTAATACTTTTAATATTAATATGGCTTATGGTTCCAAAAAAATAGATGCTAATAAGAATTGTGTTTAGATATGCAATTCTGGACTTGTTTACAGTCCAGAGAATACTTAATTTTTAAGTAAACTTTAACCGTCTAATGAAATAAAATAAAGTACTTAGTTCAATATACATTAGCAAGCAGAATTCAAAAAAAGAAACATTGTGAAAGTATTAACTACTATTGTCTCAAACTTTGTCTTAAGAGGATAAATTAAAGAAATAGCCAATATTAACACTGAACTAATTAAGGAATGTGTCAATTTTGCTGTGGCCCATTAACAGTTTTATTACTTTTAAACTAGTGCTACATAGCAAAGCTAGTTAATGCTATTTACATATACAGGGGCTCTCATTATATACAGTTTTATGTATTTGTAGTTGGTAAATAAAGACCAGAACTAATTATAGTAAAGGGTTTAGCATATTTGTGGATTTGGGGATGTGGTTCTTATCTGTATGCCATTTTGTATATGTGTAAAAGTATTAATTAGACTTCCAATACATTTTCCCAGCAGTCTGCTGCCAATCTTTATCAATTTGCTCAGCCCATATCTTCCCACTGCACACTCACTGGACTTTTCAGTGCTTCCCACCCACTCCCCATCAGCCCGCCCAGCTTGTTTTCCCATGCACAGTCTTTGCAATGCTTCCTTTTTACTCTCCTGGCAGGTCATCCATCCCTGATTTTTTTCACAGCATACCCACCAAACTTCCAGTGCCTTTTTAGTCATTTCCTGGTCTTCCCTAATCCCTATAGACTCCTGCAGAAATCTGCAGTTTCATTATTCACAATTGTAGGCTAGAATGGAACCCCAATGAATATTGAGGGCTACCTGTATATATATCTATTATATGTTTGGTTTTCTTAGGTAAAGCCCTATTTAATTCTTTTTGCCCTAGTATACCACTGTGGAATATCCTTTTCAGGGACATTCAGTACCACATTACTATCTTATTTGACTTCATGCAAAGACTTTCTTCTTTTCTAAATACAGTGGTACCTCGGGTTACAAATTTAATCCGTTCCGTGACTCTGGTCGCAACCCGATTTGTTCGCAACCCGAA